GAGAAAGAGAGAAAAAGGGGGAGAGCGGGGGCGAGAGAGAGAGAGAGAGAGAGAGAGAGAGAGAGAGAGAGAGAGAGAGAGAGAGAGAGAGAGAGAGAGAGAGAGAGAGAGAGAGAGAGTGATCGCTGGAGAAAAGGAAAGAGAAATATAAATATTTACATTTACAATTCACAATAAATTGAAAAACGAGTATGTTTTCAGTGTATTGAGATGAGGGTTAGGTCTGTCCTATTTGATATCTCCTGGAACAGTATCTGTAGTTGCCTGGTAAACGGTATCCAAAACACACCCACGCGCACTATATTTTTGAAAAAACAACAACTTCCCTCGGCTTCTATTACGACGTCATTTTTCGACTAAGCATAGTTCGTTAGATTTTATCCTATTACCTCGCTATCGGCACATTAAATATTAGAGCAATCTATTAGACGTCCGTCAAACAACGTTTGGCGCAGATCAAACACCAATCCCACTGCAATGTAACATCGAGGAGAGGCAAAAATAAGAAATGAGTTTGGAAATGTACAAGAATTGGCATTATATTATTACTTATTATTTACTTCTGAATTTCAGCCATACTGTTATTTTTTTAATTAAAATAACGACAAACGGGCACCTTATGAAGCGGAAAATATTCCGTTATTGTCGGACGTTGCTTCATATTATCCGAAATGAATGAAAACAAACGAGGTTTTATTCCCTCCTGACGTTATTACTGCGACCAAGCAACAATATATTTAGTTACGTAAGGAAATACGTAATATTTCTGCGCCTGTCAAAATCGCGTAGAGGATAGGTTGTGAATGGACAACGGAAATGTAGAATTATATCTATCGAGTGCCACGTGCAGCGAGTGAAGAGAGCGTACATTTGTGCAGGAAACACGTGGCGGATCATGGCGAAGAAGACGCATGCGCTTCCCCAAACAAATCAGCGAGAGAAAGCCATTTTGAATGTGTTTTACACGGCTCTCGCGTGATAATATGAAATGCCGAATACGTGAACGTCGGGGTTCCACCGTAGTTTATTTCACACAAACGTATATACGTTTACGTATTTTCGCAATCTTCAGAATAATCTTTGTTTACGATCCCGCGTGATATACAGATTCGCTGCTAGGTTGCCGATTTGCGCAAATCACGTGGCAAATAGCTGGGAAAGTATCTGTAGTGCGTTATATTAGACCGGCTTGGGGGTGTTAACTTTTTCTCGTAGACTGGACCGCTATACACTGCATATAAGAAACTCGTAGCTTTAACATGTTTCTGCCAACAGTTTATAAGAAAAAGTTAGTTAATGTTAAGGCTAATATTAAAACCAATGTTAAGACCAATTTTGTTTTTGACAACGGGACCCAAATTTGCTAACCGCTATGTCGCGCCATCTAGCTGCGCCTCGTCCACAAATATAGTCAGGAAAAGTGGGAAAATGTAGCTTTTTAGAAGTTAGTTATGTGACACGGAAAAATATATAGGAGCCTACGTCAAAGTGGTATGATTTTACAAACACATACACACACGCACGCACGCACGCACGCACGCACGCACGCACGCACGCACACACACACACACACACACACACACACACACACACACACACACACACACACACACACAGCACACACACACACACACAAATATATATATATATAATACATATATATATATATATATGACATA